TTCAATCTTCGATTTCTTACAAATCAAACAAGAATACACAGATTCCATAATCTCCAGGATGAATACTCAATCCACTACAATGTCGTTCCTGGTACTTTCTAACTTAGACGGTAGAGCAAATAAGTTTCCTCTTTTTTGGGGATCATCTTCCTTTAGTTTTATTTCATGACTTCTAGGAGAACTAACCAATTCTTTAAGAGTAATGTTGTTTAGATCCTTAGAAAACTTCAGAGTAGTAACCATAGGCCTCAATTTAGATGACAAGCTTCTGATGATTCCTTTTGCGTGATCTGCATTACCGTATTCTTTGATCAAGACAATTAAGCTGGCTATCCGGAGTCTTGAATCTTGAGAACTTGTGTCCAATGATTCTATCTTCATATTCTGATTCAAGTCCAGAACCTTGGAGAAGAAACCATTTCTTTCGTTTGAGTTCATAGCAGCCATAATTTTTCTCTTACTGGATCTCTCTACACGGTTAAGTGTTTGATTAAAAAAATAAATAACAGAATTGGGCTCGGATACCAAATGAAGGTAGAGAAAAACACTAGAAAAGGGGGTTTGAATTGGGTTTTAACAAAACTTTTCCTTTAACTTTTCCCTTTAGAAATTCTAATCACTCAAATGATGAAAGATATGGAATGCTCAGAAGATAAATATGATACTTTCAGTTTATACAAGTTCACCTTAGAAAAGGCTACTTTTGTCCACACGTCAAGGTGATTTTGCCTTAGAAAAGGACTTAATCCACTAATCATAAAAATGATTACAATTACATGGGCTACCCACTGGTGACTAACAATCAAAGCAATGATCAACCTGTTAGTGGTCTCTTAAGAATTCTTACCTACCCGGTCCCCTAAAAGATATAACGATCACTAACTCCTTAAGGCTTCTGACCTACTCGATCCCTTGAAGCATATTTCTCTAAATGCACGGGCTACCCGTCGGTGACTAACAACAAAGCAATGATAATCTGTTAGTGATCCCTTAAGAATTCTGACCTACCCAGTCCCCTAAGAGATATAACGATCACTGACTCCTTAAGGCTTCTGACCTACCCGGTCACTTGAAGGATATTTCTCTAAATCTTCTTGAGTATTAAGACTAACACCTTAGTCACTCAAGAAATAATCAACTTACAGTTGAATAACTATTTGTGTTTACAAGATTGTTTCTTACAAGCGGATTACACAAATGTTAACTATAAGAGATATTAACACAAAAGTGTTAAGCAAGTTATGGGCAACAACTCCTTGCTTTTACATATTTCTATATAGATGTACTTGATCAAAGTTTTGTGTAGCATCTTGTAGATTTCTTCTTTCTTTTCTTTCTCTCCATCTTTGTTTTATTTTGGTTGGATTCAACGAGTTCCTCATCAACAACTTGAATTGAATCCTTTGATCTTCTTTTATAGCCTTCAAAAAGGCGTTGTAAGGATATGAAGGTCCTTTCCAATTTCAACGGCTAGTTCCCAATGGATAATATCAAGCGTAGGTGTTAGATAGTATGAAAAGTCACTTTCCTTTTGTTGCACCCCAAAATTTGCCCTCCTAATTTCTTTTATTCTTGGCTTATACTTTTGCATTCATCTGCATCTATTTCATTAGGTCACTAACATGGCATACATTTCATTCAATATAGCTCTGAGGTTCAAAGTTTAGTGGTTGTGCGATACTAGGGTTTCATAGTAGTTAAGGCGCTCATATCCAATAAAGGACTTCTTCTCCCTCAAGCAGCGAGGCTATTATCTTCTGATAAACAACCGATTGTAGGTCATTCTGGTCAAGAACTCTAGGACGCGACCTAGCATATGTGGGCTTCGAATCATGACGTCCTTTCCTATAAGTATGCTTGTCATTTGATTAGGATTAATGACTGTGACATGACAATCGTCTACTCCTCAGTTAATCAAATTAGGTTTTGTTGAATCATGGTTCAAAGATGTTTTATCCGGATATTTCTCTGTGCGTCTGAACGAGGAATCAAGATTGTGAGGGTTTCACATCAAGGGAATTCTTTTGTGATTCAGACTTTATCATCCATCTGTAAGATGTTCCTTATGACACTAATCTCAAGTTGAAATAACCGATCGCTAAGGGCTGAGGATTGAAATGTGAAGCATGGTTCATGACCTAAGATATGAATTCATAGATTTCTCCTTAACCAAGGCCATCATTATCCTCGTCATTGTCATTTGTTATCTGCGATGTGAGTAGGTTTGGATTGAAGTAGGTTTCCCATAGAAGAATTCATGCAAGGTAATTCAAGGTTCAAGGCATTCAAGGCAGGGTTTGTTCAACATGGCATACCTGGTTGATGGGCTTACAAGCTCTTATGAGACCTTGAGATGCATAATCATGGGCCAAGTTCAAACATACGAGGATAAGATCTGTTGACTTCGGTTAAAGTAAGCTTTGAACAATTAACTTTGGGGCCAAGGTCTCCCTTGAATTTTCATCTAATATGTGTTGGGAATTCGAGTTGCATTTGAAGAATGTTATGGTAAAGGAAAATAAATATTGGTTCAGAAAAGGAAGATTTCATTAAAAAATCAGGGTTTCTATGAATTAATAAATGTTCAAGTAATTGAAGATTAGGGGAAATAAGGTTTCATGTTAATCTTGATCATGTTATTTCATTATCATTTGTGTACATCTTTGATGATTAAAGGTCGTCAATTAGAGAAGGGCCTCGTCGAGATAAGAAACTTATGGATTAAAGGTCGTCAAGGTTGTGAATTTTTAGGATCAAGATCTTATTGGCTATTCAAATTATTTGTCATTCAAGTTGATTTGGGATTCAAGATTGAAGTTAGGAGTTCATTGAGAATGCAAGTGCGATTTGGATTTGAAGTTTGATTTGAGTTCAAGATGTTCGAAAGTGTTTGATTGGATTAAAGTTGGCAAAGAGCCTTAAGTATTGGTCATATGAGTTTCTTGGAAGGTAAAGTACAGACTGCGAGGTCTTGTTTCAAGTCGGAGTTTATACGCATTACAAAGACGTTCATCGTTATTCCAGATTCAAGTTGACATGTGTTCAAAGTTTATTCGAACCCTTTCATTCATGATTCAAGAAAATACTATCCAATTCCATTCAATTTCATTCAAGTGTAACAATACCTTACAAGAAAATTTGATGCTTTCATGTCTTCAAGCATTTTTTCAAGACTTTATCATTTAAACTCCGTCCAAAAAAAATCCATCACCCAACATTTCAAGCTCAAAGGTCATTTACAATTCACGCTATAAATTTCAAGTTCATCCAAACCAAACATTCATTATAAAATCATTACAATCCCATTACACCAATATTCTACAAAGAAAAAAATTGTTACAAAATACACTCGAACAAAATTCTTTAGTCCTAAAGTTGTTAAAATTCCATGAGTAAACTTCTAATTCCATGCCATGCCAAAGTTCTTCATCTTCAGTTCATGACCTGCACATTCATACAAAAAAATCCAAGTCAATACAAGCAACCATGCCAAAATATCCTATGCTCATACAAATTACTCGACACATGAAAAACCATTAATTAACCCAAACCAAATGCTAAACACATATATGGAACAACCTGCATACCTTAACTTTGGAAGAGAATAGGTCCACATCATTCAAACTAACTGCAATTGAAAGGAAAATCAAATTCAGCTTCGGAACAATGTCCAAAAATAACCATAATCACACATTTCCAATTGCAGCTACTTTTGTTCATGCTCTTGTTGCTAAATCTATGTCAAGAAACTTCAGGGCTAATACAGTTTGAAGCCTCGTTAAAATGGAAACAAAGTCTCCCTCGACAACGAATTCTTGATTCATAGATCATTAACAATTCAAGTTCAACTTCAACACGAATACCATGTTCATGGAGAGGTATCACTTGTGATTCAAAAGGAACTGTCACAATTCTAAACTTGGCATATACTGAACTTCAACAGGGGGTCCAATTAACCAAGATAGCACCAGAGTACTCTATGGATGAGCCTGAAAATCAGCTTGCTCAAAAGGAAGATCTCTGTTTTAGATCTGAGAAGCCACATTGGATGCCTTCAGGCTTCATTTCCCTAAGCGGTGGTGCAGAAATGACAAAGGAAGAGAACATTGACTAAGGCTATAAAGAATATTCTTAGTGAGAATTTTGATGATGATGAAGCAACAGAGTCTCAGACTCTATTGTATAAAAATCTATGGCTTGAGGCTGAGGCTGCATTATGTTCCGTCTCTCACAAAAATCGCTACAATCAAATGAAGATTGAAATGGAGAAACAGTCATACAAGCAAAGAGACATAGAGCAGCATTCAAAATCAGAAGTTATTCCTAGTTTAAGCAGGAGTGAGAGTTCTGCAATTGAAGTTAATAAATGTCTAAACTCTGATTCTTCTGCTGCTACCATTCCAAAGGAACTTTCCCAGTCGAAATTTTCTTCTGATATGAACAGGCTTGATTCATTGACACCTGAAGCAGATGGTGGTCAAAACTTGTATAATTTCATCCACAATTATGTTGTTTCTGGCATAAACAAGGAAGTGGCCGGAAATGACGAGGCTTCTGTTATGGCCAGATACAATGTTATTAAATCCAGGGATGACAATTCGTGCATCAACGCTAATGATTTGGAGACACCATCGGACACAGCAGACATCTTGGCAGCTCAAGTAGCAGATAATCAAAACCAGATTTCATTTTCTCAAGTCCCGGGCTGCTGAAGATTCAAGTTATGTATCTTCAACAGAGAAATTGTTTAAATTTTTTGGTGAAGGAACAAAAGAGACTGAAGGAAGATGGAGAAAATTTAACTACAAAAGCGCAGGCAACAAACATCTTGACTTCCTGCTCTCGAATTTGAGGTGACAAGCAGCAACTCTGGGCTGCTGCCACACAGGATTATAGTTGCTGGTTCGGTCTGGTCCTGGAACAGTGCTGCTTGAAACTAATTGGATCACTCTTAATTTCGGAAGGGTCATTTTACACTAGGCATATCTGGATTTTGTGCAATGTCGCGCTGCTTTCCATTTCCACCACTAGGGTATGAAAAGAAGACTAGAACGGATGATGTTGACTTACCAAAAAAGGAAAGGCATAGAAAAAAAGCACAAAAAAAGATAAGGACAAGCTGAAGGTCTCAATGCAGGTAAACTCCAAAAGGAAATCAAGCCTGATAAGAAGGATGTCTTTGTCGATAATAAAATTATCAAACAGTATACTGGTAATAATGGGGAGATGGTTAGAGAGATTAATCATCTGGCTAAGGAGAACAAGGATTCTAAATTCCTCCTGGAGTTTGAGAGGAGAATTAAGGAGGGTAATGGAGCGGCTGGTAATCAATTGGTTCAGAAGTTTACAAATTCAGACCATAGAAAAGATGAGGGGACTGTTGGGTTGTTGGCTAGGAATAGTGGCACCCTGCGCGATGACAATGAAAAGCTCAAGGACATGGGTTTTGATGCTAAGAAGATTGCGAGGAAAGGAGTTAATGCCCAGGTACGGCCTTTTGGAAATGCAACAGTTCAGAACCACGCCGACAATTTTCATCCTAAAGCAGATGGAGTCCCCAAACTTTTGGGGAAGTATATGGACAGGAATTTGGAAGCAACAGTTGGGGGAAAAGAAAAGTCCTAAAGGAAAAGTGACTAAGGAATCTCTTAATGATTACAAACTGTGATATGGTGGGAGAACTGACCAGGGTTTTGCGTTTGTTTTCGCAAATGTTTCGGTTGAGCAAGAGTCGCCACCGACTTTTTATTTTATCCTAAGGAAAGGTTTAAAAAGCACAGCAAAAACCTTTGGGATTTTTCTTGGGTTCGGGGAGTAGATTATAGAAAGGGAAGGTATTAGCACCCTTTCTATCCATGATTATCCATGGGCTCTTAGGTTCTTGCTTAGATCAACTTGCCTTGGTTTTCAATTGTTTGAAATGGTGCTTGATGTGTGGTTTTGAAAATGTTTTGAAAAGATGCCTTGTATAGGCTACCCTTGTAACAATTCTTTACTCGAATGTTTTACAAAAGGTGTTTTGTCTTTTAAAAAGATGTTTCAAGGTTTTTTGAATGTTGGTTTTGAAAGTGTTTGTGAAGTGGGTTTTGAAAATAGGCAAGTGTTTTCTTTGCAAATTGGCAAGTACTTAAGAGTTATCTACCCTAAAGTTTTCTCAAAGATTTTTGTTATGTTTTGAACCTTTTGACAATTTTGTTCCACCATTGCATTTGGTGGACAATCTTGTCTTAGGAGGTGAAAGGGACGGGCGCGGGTCATTGTTTAGACCATAATTGCAATAGTGTTAAATGTCTTTGGGCAATTTTTTCTTTTAAAAGGGGACTTGATCATTCATTTAGGCAACATTTTGAGGGACTATGATCATTTGATTGTTTGTTTTACCCAAAGAAGTTCAACATACAATATGGCCCAATTATTTGAAGGCAACAAAGTGGCATACCCTAGGGGTGCAAGTGTAAAATGTGTTGTCCATTTTCATGCTTATTTATCTTGAGATTAGGTCCAACTATTTTGTTCGTTTTATTCGCACACAAACCCTAATTCTAGCATAGTATGTTTAGAAAGCATTTAAAGTGCGAAATTTAAATTCCTACACTATTACAACACAATAATATGGGGAGGGGGGTACAATGTTTCAAATGGGGTATATTTAGGCAAGAATTTAAACCTAACTATTACATCATTTTCTTTGAATATTTACAAGACAAATAATTGTATAATTAAATGGAAATTGAAATAAATATGCAAAATGCAAAAAAGAATTTTTATGTGTATGAAAAAAAGAATATTATTTATGTGAAAATAAAAAGAGAAATAAAAAGGTATTATTTTTGGAGTATTTTCAAATTTAGGGCAAAACCCTAATTTTTAATCAAAGGGGTATTTATCAATTAATTCATATAATATTTATTATTTACATACAAAAATAAAATAAAATATAGTATATTTGTAAAAAGGGCATTTTTTTTTAGTATTAAATATTAGAAAATAAAATATGTACATTTTTGGTATTTATATCCTAAGTGTATTAATATATACCTATTTATTTATATTATTTACAAAATATGTATTATATATATATATATATATATTAATAATATTTAATATTTAAAAAAAAGTATTTTCCTATAAAATATTTTCAGGGAGCAAAAATAAGATAAAAGTGTATAGAATATATTTGTGCTATTTTAATATTTTAAACAAAAAAGTATATTTATTTATTTATGTTCAAACTAAAAGAAAAATCAAATAAATACCTAATAAAATCAAAAATGGTGAGAAAAAATATTTTTAAATTTTTAATATGCTGAGAAAAAATAAATGAGCCAATCAAAAAAAGCAAAAGTCAAAAACATTAAAAAATGAATGAAATGGGCTCAGGGGGTGTAAAACAAAAAAAGTGGTGTGAATAAGAAAAACACTCAGGCCCAGCCCAAGAAGCCACTGTCTTCAACCTTCAGACAGAACCAGTTCAAAAAACGCGTGCCCTTCTTCTCAACTTCTAACTCCTGATTCCTGGCTTTTTAATGAAAACTCATAACATAAAAAATGTTCAGCATGAAGAGACGAATCCAACCATATGCAGAACTTGACCTAACTCTCTAAGATGAGGGAGAATTTCTTCTCCCCCAAATCCTAACCTAGATTTTCTGCCATTTTCAAACCTCAAATTCTCACAACTCAAGTAAAAGAAATGAAAAGTAAAAACATGTACATGTTCAGTGGCATGAGTAGAACATTGTTTATTCACAAACTTAGAGCTAATGATGCTGCATAAGAGAGATAGAAGTTCACCAAGATACCTGTTCAGCTGAAGTTCTATCTGGCAATGAGGAAGCTTTCAGTGCAAGGTGATGATTGGAAAAGCTTCCTTGAGGTCCAGGGATGCTATTCCAATGTTTACTTTGTCTTGAAAGCTTTTGAATCGTGCTAGAGCACTTCACCTGCAAAACAAGAAACTGAAAATGGTGGAAGTGGTTAGAGGGATTACAGGTCGTGTTTCAAGTCCTGGTTAGCTTGCATAGGTGCTAGGGAATGTATGTGAATTGGTTTGGGCAAGAGAGCTTGAGGGAAATGGAAGATGGCACTCAAACTGCAGGCCTGGCCCTGTTTTTGCAGTTTGAAGGTGATTCTGGGATTTGGGGTGTATGAGAGGTGTTAGGGTCGTGCAATAGCTTGGTTGAGATGTCTTGAGTGTGTTTCACAAGTTCACTTAAGTGTTTGCAAGCTGATATGAGAGTTGTCCTAAGTTATGATGTGTTTCTTACACTTTAAGCAAGCAATGGTTACTTTGTGCCTCTAGCCTGTACAGGCCCTCATACTATGCTGCATAATCCCTCCTTGATCAGTGTGATTAACACATAAACTTGTGCCAATTAGATATGGACTGTACTTCTTGGATTTGTAATTGGACATAAAGCTACCTTTTGCAAAAATGGAAGAAATGCTTTATCTATTTTGGGATTAATCCTTTATGCAATGCTAGAACACAAAGAACATGGCTTTGGCACAAAGAATATGCATTAAATTTATGAGTGTTGGATGGTTTAAGGACCTGTAATCAAGATATGCAAGCTGAGATTGAAATGCATAGTGTTATGAACATGTACATGGCCAAGAACAAAAGTGACTTTTTCCCATTTTGCAAAATTCGATTCTCCCTAACCATGAGGTTGTTTGAGAAGTTCTTGGACATTTTGGAAAGCTTGGAATGTGTACTACAATCCATATTTGAAATTCAAATTGAAATTCTAAGTGGAAGTGTATGGAAAATGGCCTTGAAGTTGGGTAGAAAACCTTGTCAAAATAGGTTAAAATTTCACTAAGTTAAGAATGGTTTAGTGCCCTTATTCAAAAATTTGTAACTTGAGATAAAAGCCTCAAATGGGAAAACTTTGTGAATCAAAGTTGTAGATTATGCAACAAGATACAACTTTCATGTTTTGACTTTTGTTTGAATCCAAATGGATCTTGGTGAAAAAGTGGGGCAAAGTTGGGAAAAAATTAGGGTTTTTTATAACTTAGAAAAATTCTAAGTTATGAAAAATTCTAATTTCTAACCCTAATTTGCATTTTGTGATTTCTTGGTGAACAAGTTTCATGATTTGGCATGTTTTGATGAAAAATGAATCTTGACTCTAGATTTTGACCAAAAAGTCAAAGTTTGACTTTTCAGTATACAGTCAAAATTGATCAATTGACTGGGAAATTCAATTGTCAATCTTGTGTACTTGGGATCTTTTGAGTTTGTTGAGCATGTCAAGATAATTCCATGGGGTCCTTGAGTCCATATATGAGCTTGGTTTGCCATTGGCTAGGTCAAACAGTCAAAAATTGCCTTTGTGCAGTCAAAACCCTAAAAATGACCATTTTACCCTTTTGGTGATTTGATCAAATTTCTTATGGAATTGTGATCCAAACTTGATCAAATGGTCCATATGAGTTTATAATGTTGACTTGGGTTAATTTTCATGAGGTTTGACTGTCAATTGGCCACAGTTGACTTTTTTTTCCCAATACAGCTGATTTCTAGGTCAACTGTCCAATTGATTGAGCAAAACTTGGAATCAAAGCTTGAAACTTGGTATGGATAAACTTGGGAGTCCAATATGAAGCATGAAAGTCATCTTAGGCACTTTAGGTCAAAACATCTTAATGCAAACACAAACCCTAATTTGGGTCAACAGTGCAAGGAGAAGTCTTGAGCAGATGAAACCCTAACTGGATCTTGGGCTTCAAAGGTTTTGTGATGAGAAATCATTGAGAAATGGGAGGGCAAATTTTGGGGTACAACAGTTGCCCCTGTTCAATCTTCTTGAATCCGAAGAGTTAGATTGGCAAGCTTGCCTTTCGTGACTTGAGGGTAAAAGGAGATTGGACACTAGAGTGCCCGGAAATTTGCACTCGTCAAAGCAATGCATGCGGGAATGGGCTTAGAGATGCCATTTGGAGATGGGCTTAAAGATGCCATATGGAGTGAGTATCAGGAAAGTGTCCATGCTTTGGACCATTCTGAACTGGGGATATGAATAAGCAATAGATTGGCATCCGTTGTTGGGAGGAATCCGTAAACTGTTTTCAAAAGTTTGAGAAGAGTCTGAACAAGCGATAGGTTAACATCCGTTACTTGGAGAACCCGTGAACTATTTTCAGAAATCTTGAAGTTGAATAAGCAATGGAGCAGCATCCGTTGTTGGGAAGCGTCTGTAAACTGTTTTCAGAAAGTTGCATCTGAACAAGTTGATAGATTAACATCCGTTGTTGGGAAGAATCCATAGACTATTTTCAGAAGTCTGGAGAAGAAACTGAACAAGCGATAGGTTAACATCCGTTACTTGGAGAACCCGTGAACTGTTTTCAGAAGTCTTGAAGTTTGAATAAGCAATAGAGCAGCATCCGTTGTTGGGAAGCGTCCGTAAGCTATTTTCAGAAAGTTGCATCTGAACAAGTCGATAGATTAACATCCGTTGTTGGGAAGAATCCATAAACTGTTTTCATAAGTCTTGAGGTTGAATAAGCAATAGAGCAGCATCCGTTGTTGGGAAGCGTCTGTAAGCTGTTTTCAACGGTTGAGAAGAGTCTGAACAAGTGATAGATTAACATCCGTTATTGGGAAGAATCCGTAA